TGTGTATTGGGAAGGTATTTTATAGTATAATTGTTTAAGAGGGTTTTAGACCCTTGGTTCCTGCTGAAAGAAATCCCTACTGTAATCACTGAAGAAAACAGTCATCAGGTTGCTTTCCAAGGATTTCACCATGAGTCTCAGAAGCAGTTTAGCCGTGTGGCTCTGTAGCATGAGTAGTAAAGGCTAATTAATCTGAGAGCAACATTGTCATAATGTGGTTATTCTTTACCATTTAGAGCCAGCTCACGTCTGATGCACACTTTACTGTGTCACACACCTGGATGTGTTGAAATGATCAGAATTAGGTGCTAATTTTTTGAGATGTTGTAAATTCAAAATTCTTTAAAACATTAGAGATGCCATGCTCATTAAAAAAATATAACGAGAAAATAATAACAAAAGTTACATTTAGCTTATGGGTCTCATTCATACATGTTTTCTTATGCCTTTTGAGATTTTTAGTGCCTCTAGGCTATAACCAAGGGAGTTGGAACACTTTTTTTAATGGTTTCAAGAGATACAGCTTTGAGGAAAGTATCACTTTTGAAACTTGTTATAAAATCACAAATTAGCAGATATACACAGGTCATCTAGATCTAGCTCAGCCTTATTTCTTATGCATCTTCCTTTTCAAAGATGAGGGAAAATCTTTAAAAGTGCTAAGATAAAGGCAGATACCTTGCTACTGAATTTAAGTACTTAGGAGAAGGTCAGGTACTATAATCAAGTGCTTTATAGAATGTCTTTCACTTTATGTCACTTGAAAAATGCCTTAATTAACTTATTAGCTGTCTTAGAATTCATATGAGCACCTCTCAACTTCATCACTGGTGAAGTGAAATTCTATGATATCATCTGTCCAGCTACATCCAGCCAAATGGTCTCTGGTAAAATGGACAGCTTTATTCTTCTACAAGGGTGGCATGTCCTTCAGATCTTAGGAAAATTTCTTCAGCTTCATTACTGCTAAAATGAAAGGCCAAACCTGAAAATAGTACCCCTAGTTTCTCCAGTGTTGTATAACTGCATCAGCTGCCTTGGCACCAGCACACAAACCTTGCATAAATTGATAGACACCCTTCTTTTGAGCCTTCTTTTTCTGTTAGAAAAATTCTCTAAGAGTAATGTTGTTTGGGTTGACAGACTTCTGGTGCCTGTTTTTTGATAGTTGGGGTAGTAAATCAGCATGCTTGAAGAAATTAAATGTCCTTTAGGTCTCCTTTACCTCTATGTGGTAGTAACTCAAGAGTACAGATTGTCTAAATTGCATGGAAGTTTTGAGCTTATTCCTTTGCTTCATTCCAGTTTTGTGTAATGAATCATCAAGATTTATTTACTTGCTACAAATAAATGCAGTGCAGGTTCAAGTGAATTCAAGTAATTTTTTTTGTCTTCCCCCCCCTATTCCCCCAGAAAGAATGCAGAAATCTCAAATACTCTCTCTTTTTTCCTCTTAGCAAAATAGTTGTGCTATCCTCCATGAAGCAGAAAGACAGTTTCCCAATTTTCTGAGGTTTTTGTTTGAAAATTCAAATTCCTCAAGAGCTATGCAACAAAGCCTTGTGTGCATTAGTGAGCCTGAAGGCCCTGACCAGCCTTTTCAGGGACCTACACAGCAGCCTGCCCAGAAGATCTATTTCACCTGCACCTGAGTCCTCAGTCTCTGCTTGCATTACGTCACAGGTGTCCTGTTGTTCATCTACCCCAGAGCTGTGGGCCCCATTTATTAAATTTTCCTGCCATGAGCTTGAACCTGCCTTATCACTATGGTTCCACTGAGTGGTCACTAAACTCTGCCTGACTTGTGGTTACCTTCACCAGACCAGATCTAGGCTCGAAAGGGTGAATTAGCTTCCTGATTCGACCTCAGATTTGTGTCATCACCATTAACTTGGCTGATGATCTGGACTCTTGGTTGAAACCTATCAAGTCAGGGTCTGTCTTACTTGGGATCTGCATGATTGGGCCCTGGCTGGCAAGGAGCCTGTCCTGCTGGCTGTATTACCATGCTTGACTCCCTGTCAGAGACTTCAGTGGTCCCTGACACTGTATTCGTTTGAATCTTTCCTGTTGTAGCTTAAGATAGCTCATTTTCCTGACTTAGGATATTTCTGGTAGCAGATTTGGCCTCCAGAGCAGTTTAGAAATCATCAGCATAGGCACTGGTTTTGTACAGCAGTATTGGTGTGATCCTTGTTTTGCAGAGACGGAAGCCTGGGGCTGTGTTCAGGAGATCAGAACCTTTTTTACTCCTCTGTGTTCATTTAGATCCTGATCTCAACTTTTTTTTGAGCAATACTTGTAAATCAGCTCATTGGCACATTGAAAAAGGCTGTAGAATGCACTTCACCTCTCTATAGCTTCTGTACCAACCCTTCTGTCCCTTTTCAGAAATTCTCTCTAGGTATTGCTTTAGCAGAAAGCCAACATATCCTATTGTTAGGAGGTACTATAGAGATCCTGTTTATGTTTGTCTGTGTCCAAAGATCTTGCTGCAGCTGTTTCCTTGTACAGGGACTACATAATTAAAGTCAGACATGCAGAAAAAATCAAATTTAGAAGAATGATAGTAGTAAATTGCAGGTGGTTCAGGAAGGAAATTGGTTTGTATCATGTAACTTTCTCCATTTCCTTTCTGTCCTGCAGTTAGACTAGAACGCTGTTGCTTAACTGATTCACGGCTGGCTGAGATGAGCTTCATGGGCTTTCAACCACCCTGTGTATGGTCCTCTGGATTGGACAGAATGCTAACAACAATTTCAGACCATTTTCATAATGGAGGGGTGCACAGTGTCACCTGGGTAAATGAGTTATATTAGTTTTCTCACCTAACCCTCCAAGTCATAATCCATTCGGTAACATTTCCAGAGTAAGCATACTCTACTTTGTGAATATGGAAAATTTTCCTCCAAAGAGGTTGATGTCACTGAGGTTTGGTTGAACGTATATCACAGCCTTCATGTCTATTTCACCTCTTTCCACATGGAGACATGTTCTCTTCATGGCAATCTTCTACAAGATTTATAAACCTGTTTTGAGATGTTCTCTATGTCGTTGCATTGGCTGCTTTGCGCTTGGCTGTTACACAGTTCTTAAAGGTTTCTGTTCTGTGGTTGTCCAATCAGAACAATGTCAGAAAAGAAGTGTCTTTTCATTCTACTCTGCTAAAAAATGGACAGTGATGTGCTTGTTCAAGCAGGCTGGTCAGTGTTCTTCAAAATTAAATGCTGTCAGTATTTTAAACCTAATGATCTGCATGTATAGAAGGCCTTTCAGTCAAGCTTTGGATACTCAGGTACACTACTTGAGCATCAAGCACTAAATAAATGAGTTGTCATTTCTGAGAAGCAATAAAACTGAAATATATTCTGAATGATCATTAAAAGTAAAGTTTTTACTTTTTCTGAGTTTGATAATGTATTCTAAAAATAGCATCACTGTGGTATACCTTTGTCTTCTACGTTCACTTTCTTTCAGTCTAATAAGGACGATATCATTTGAGGCAATCAAATAAGTGGACTGTTTCCTTGTTCCTCCATAGATGGGGCAGAAATATCACAAGGTTTTCTAATTATAGGAGACAGAACTAGTGTTCTGTTCATTTTTAGGATGTGTTTTGTGATTCTTACACTGCAGACTCAAGCAGTCTTTTCATGTGAATTAAAATTCAGATTATATTCTCTAGTTTTCAGGTAAGGAGTAAAATCCTGTGAATGTGATTTTTTGTAGGTTTAAGACTTAAAATTTAAAATCCAGTGAGAGATCTGTTATTTACTCATTATTCAGAGAGGAAAGACATTGACAGAGGCAATTAGGTATAACTCTTTTGACATTCTTAGAAATGCCCGGAACTAACATGAATACATCAGATCCACATTCAGATGTGGATGCAAAACCTGCATTCCAGTCTCTAATGCTGTAAAACTGGAATAGCAAATTATGGAATTAGCTCTGCTACTTTGCTCTATGTCTATTTAAAAGTGATTTGTAAATGCCTAAAAAAATATTTAGAAACTTTGAGGGAAAAGGAAGATACAAAGTACTTAAAATTTGGAAAGGTCAGAAAGATTTGACACATAAAGGTACATTTCAATCAATTTCTTTTTATGTTCGTCTTTCAGAGCTTCTGTTTCAAAGTACTCTGGCTCTCCCTCTGACACTTTCTAGATTAACTTTTCTTCTGATGTTACATCTGCAGCAGAATTGCGTAGGAACATGGTATCAGCTCACCACAATTTGAATAGAAGTGCAAATTTGTTACATTTAAAGACATTATAAAATTAAAGTATTTAAACCCATGTGGTTTGGTAATACTGAATTGGAAACGTCTCACAGTCATTTATAGTCTGACTGTGCTGAAATCAGAGTTCCCTGGTTGATGTGACATGATTATATGTTATGAGTGCATGTGTTAACCTTTCAAAATAAAATGTTCGGTTTCTTCTTTTAAATACCAAATGCTGATAGTTATAATACTTGCTGATATTTGCTCACTGACAGTCTCACTTGTTTTCAAACCCCACATATTTAAAGTTGTGGAGTGTTAGATTGATGTTTCTTTCACTCAAATGTCATATTCATCAACTGTATTGTGCTAGCAGATTGTTAAACAGACAAGGTGATTTGCAGAGTGACAAGTGATGTGATGTCCCAAACCATTAAAATACAGTAATGATGTGTTTTTTCCCTTTCGGCTTTTGCAACACAGTGGATTTTCTGTAAAACACAGGTGAGAACATTCCTGAGTAGATCCATGGTGTGGAAAAAATCCAAGTTAATGAATAACAAAACCTGGAAGCCAGTTGGAACCTCACAGATAATTGAGAAGTTCTGAAGACTTAGAAAAAAATAATGTAACAGTATTATATAATGAGAAAAAGATATATTATAAGGAAAATTAAATTGCTTGATGTATTATACTGTCTTACATAATCAGTTTTGCAGTATCTTTTTTTTTTTAAAGCTATAATAAAAGTTATTTTATAATTTTACTTGAATAGCCTCCCAAGAATACCACAGGAAAGGACGGAACTTCTGCTTAACCTTATATCAACTCAAATGTCTTTCTCAACTTATCAAACTCTTCATATTAATGGAGGAAAAAATTGAAGAGCTCTCCACAGAAATTCTGCTGCTGCCTTCATTTACGGAGAGGAATAAGAATGTTCAAGGTAATGAATGATTGTTCTGATTTATTGGTTTACTTTGTGCAAAAGAATAATTCTATGCTATTTTCAACATTAATTATGTAATTTATGTCATCTTATTTTTCAAATAAATGTGTTTCCATAATCCACTGAAAAAGCTTTTGAAATGTGCAGATTTACATTTGAGCATGATGACTTGTAGAAAAGAACTGATTGCTGTGTATAAAGATGTGATGTACTAACTGTAGGTATTGATGGAGAGCCATGATGAAAAACTATCAAACACTGCAACAAGATATCTCCTACTAGATTCTCTATAAAATCCTGTGTCTCATATAGGACACAACAATACTTGGAGTCTGAATTCTTTGAAACTGACTTTTTCTGAACTTGTCTTTGAAAGCTGCCTTTTTCAAGAGAGAAAGCACATACATTAATATCAGTTTAGTTGATCTTAGTGTACATGAAACTAACCCCTAAAGGATAGAGTCCATGCTTAACCTGTATTTCTCACACTTACTCATATGCACTGTGTTTACTAGCATGCTTATCTCACTGGCTTCAGTGGCTGTGTTACAGAAGGAGGCTCTACATCAGTAAAATGATCAAGCCTCACGTTTGCATTTGCTATAGGTTCCAAGCTCACTTTTTTTCCTCTAATTGTATTCAGTAGAACTGGGTATCATGAAAATTCAGGTGAATAACACCTTCATATGCTTATAAGTAATATGCTTATAAGTATTATTCTACTCTGCTGCTTCTGCCAGTGGAGACTCCAAGTCATGAGAGAGAAGTGGTTTCAAGAGCTTTGATTCTATTGCAGGAAAAGATCAGACCAGAAATGAGGCCAGGCTGCTCAGGGAGAGTGGATAGGTGAAATCAAATGTTCACTATCACTATAGTCAAGCTGCAGGCTGAGGAGAAAGGTGTTTTGGGAATGATGTTGTCTCAGAATACAACATTGATGAAAATAAAAATATTAAATAAGAAATGTTCCAAGGCACACATTTTGTTATTGTATTCTTTACCTCTAATATTGACACTCCAAAATAAAGAAATACAGGTTAACCTATATATTTTTAGAATATACAACAAAGCTCTAATAAAATGTGTATTCAAATTCCATTTTTGCTGACTTCAATGACTTCAGTGACTTCAATGTATTTCTTCCTCCTTTAGTCAGTTTTTCTAATTCTCAAGAAATGCTAAGTTAATATTATGCATTGTAATTTATGTTTTATGTTTATGTTTATATTCTACAAAGAGGTCTTAGAATAAACTTGTACAGTTTTCCTCATGTGTTGGGCAGGGTATGCACTCAGGATGGGCAATGGTAAATGTACTTTGTATTACTGTATCATGTGTAAAGAAATTGTAAAAAAAGGAAGTGTAAAAAATTCAAAAAGTCTTGAATGCAAAATTTATTTGATATTTATGTGACTATATTCTAAGGCAGGTGGTCTCCAGTAATTCAGAGAAAAATTTTCCAAGCTTAATTACATCCAGAGCTATTTCTCCAAAGAGTGTTAAGCTGCCTTTTTGAGAAATGTTCTTTTAGAGTAATCATGTCCATAGCAAGTTGGTTCTTAATTGGTACCTCTACTTAATCAAATCTGAATTGGGAAAATATTATTAGACCTTGTAGGAGGCAGTCTCCTGGGTAAAAGGTACATTCCAGAAAAAACACAGAATTCATCTTACCCTGAAAAACAATCAAGGGTAAATATTTTTCACATGCTTTTAGTGAAGTCTTCAGACATACTTTTGTTTTTAGGGTTGCTGTTTTGATCAGGTGGTTCTATTCACAAAACTGTTTGCAGTGATCTGTTTACAGATAGTTTGTGAAAAGAAGACATGTCCGGAAAAATTTTTAACAAGAGGTCTGACTAGAAGAAAGGTTTATTGGTGTTATTTTATTTTCATGTTGTTGGAAATCTCATTTGTAGTGAAGTGAGGTGAAAGATGATTTGGTGTGGGAGAATGAAAGCTATGTTCCCAGTAGTTCCAAGTTGTGTTAAGTACCTAAAAGGATTTAAGAATTTAGGATTAAGGATTTAAGGTTTGTTAATGTCCTATATTGTGTTGATAATTTTATTTTTTTCACTGAGGATGGCTGAGTTTTTTTTATAAGAAGGGTTGGTTAGAATCCTTGTTTTATTTTCATCAGAACACATTGTAATATGTGACTAGACAATATAATGGCCATCTTCAGTACTTATTTAGGAGCCTTATTACTAGAAATATTGTTTAATTTGGCAGAGTCAGGATTGTAGATAAGTCTGAAGCAGCTTTAAGTTATCTTGGTTACAAAGGTCAGGTTTACAGTGCAGCACGTGCTGCAGAACCAGTCTAAGAGACAGTGAATTAACCCAACTGAAGTGAATGCTGATGGTGCTAGGCAGTTACCCATACTCTCAGTGGGTTCAAGATAGGTTGGGTATATCCAGCCTACCCGTCAGTCTCTGCAGTGAGGGATATCTCAAGTGTCAGTACACTGCAAGTAGTACTGCTGGCAAACTAGGTAAAGATGGCTGATTCATAAAAGGTAGATGAATGTCCAAGTCACCTAAAGTTTCCCTAGGCATTGTGTAGACAGAAGCCTTGTACTTGTTTCCTTTATGTTTTGGTTGCTTTTAGTGTTCATGGGAGACTTTTAATCTATGTAGCTCACACAGAGGTGCAACAAAAATAATGGTTTTTTCATGTGCTTGTGTCAAGTGGTATGTTTATGTGTATAGCTGTTTCAATGTCAGTTGATTTTTTGTTTTATATTCTGTAGTACTTCAGTTTTGATATTTAGAACATGTATAAAGTTCCATCAGAGACAAAGTAGTTCTTTGGATGGTTCCTCTTTGTAAAATTTTTTTTTGTCCCAAAGATGGCATCTGAGTTTTATCTAAACCAGACGGTTTCTTGGCCCTCATTTTTCCCTAAACCCAGCAATGACAAAGAGCAACGGCTGCATAAATTGGATGTAAGAAGAACACTTAGGGTTTATCACAGAAGAATCAAAGATTTCATATCTTCTGACAGATTGTTTGTACTCTTAGGGGGTCTTAAGAGGGGTCAAATGGCTTCTAAGAGTTGCTTAGCTAGATGGTTAAGGGATTGTATTAGAGAGGCGTATGTAGTTAAGGGTAAAGAGGCTCCCAGGGTTTGTAAAGCTCATTACACTAGGACTATAGCTGCTTCTTGGGCGGAGAGGTCGAAGGCTTCCACATTGGAAATTTGCAAGGTGGCCACCTGGGCTTCTCTTCATACTTTTTCATTGCATTATTGCTTGGATGTAGTCTCTTCTGCAGATTCTGCTTTTGGTAGGAGGTTGCTTGTGAACCAAAAAAAGAACAGTGAAGAAAAGAAAGACATGTAGTTCAGAGTTCTAGCTGGCAACAAGACAAGTTTCTTTGCAGCGTGCACAATGGAATCCTATGAAGACCAATTTAGGCCGTTGAAAATAGATGTTAGAGGGAAGTACTGCCTACCAGTGTTCTCTGATGGTAACCCCATGGCAGACAATAGCACCAAAGGAAACAGTGAACCAGAGTGAACTCTGTAGGGAGATGGATGTAGAGAGTTTTTAGGTGATACAGATAGGTCTCTGAGTTCAGTTTGAGAGTTCTTTATCTGGCATCTTCTGGAATATAGTCAGAATTCTCATTTTCACAAATTACTTTGCATAGATTGGAGAAAAGAATTCTCTGAATTGCATTTTCCACTCTACTTCTTTTCACTGTTCTCCTTCCAATTCTTCCTGATTTTAATTTTGACTTTACCAGCAGTAACTTAGTGTTCCTCAATATGTACATGCCAAGATTTGAGCTTGAATTAAAACTGTATTTGTGTTATCTAAACACAGTTTTTAAAAAAGATAGTATCAATATACATTTTATCTACTACCAATGTGTTCTTCAGGTTATCCTTTAAATCAAAATAAGGAGAAAATCATGCAAAGTTCTTGGACAAACAAGTGAAGGCATGGTTTTCTACCCCTGAACATTAGTGTGTCATCTGGACAAGACTGCTACTCTGCCTTTCAGAGAAAAGGTATCTGTATTGTTCTGTCGTTTACAGGACATTAATTCGCAATGGTGCATAACTTCATTCCACTACAGACATTGGATTTCATAAAATTATGGGAGTAACCATTCCCAGTTTTTTCTTGACTATTTAACCGTTTCATCTGCAGGTATCTTGTCATACCTACTGTGATGAGATAGTCTACTTCTCTATTTACATTCAGTTGAAATTAATGAGATGTTCTAACATACCTAGTACGTCCAGCATCACAGCTTCTCTTTGAAGCAATCAGGAACATGATTGTCTACAATCAAGTGTTAAGCATGAGACTTGGGTTTAGAACTCTGCCAAATTGCATTCTCTTTCCAGCTTTAAGTTAGATTTTTCTTTCCTCTTGGGTTTTCAGAAGCTTCTTGTTAAGAATTCTAAAAAATCAAAAATATCTAATGTGCTTTCATCTGTCTCATGTTTTTTCCCCATTTCAGTGAGAAAGGTGAACTTTGGACAGATCAGATAATGAATACCAAGAAAGGCTTTTTCCAATGGAGTGCTTGAAAACACTGTGGGTGAATTTGTCAAATCCTTAGGTTTACAAGCTCTGTCTCATGGGACTGGGAAGATTTGCAAAGGTCTTTCCTTCACACTTTAAATAGAGATGCTTAACTCTATATCAATTTCTGGAAAGGGTAATAAAAGGAATGTAGAATAAAATTTTTGAGGTGCATCCTCCTAACTGACTTTTGTTCAAAGTTGCAGTATTGCAAATTTTGCAATTGAAGATTAAAAAAAGTTGTGATTTTTGCTTTGGTCTCAACATAAGATGTTCAAGTATCTTCTTTTACAAATACACAGCTTCAGTGGATCAATCCAAAGTGAAGATGAATTTACACTAGTAGGAGAATATGATTTCAGAGGTACATTATCTGCATCTGGGCTAGTACAGTTTGCTCGGTATAGTAAAATAAGTAAAAAGTTCATTATTGAAGATAGATAGCAGAAGGTTTTTT